TGCAACAACTTTCCCACCTCGTCAGTGCCCCTTCCAGTGCAAAGAACATGACAGGGTCCAGGCTGGGGAACACAAACTGGACAAGTCACACGTGCTGAGCTTGATGGGATGCTCCCATGAGCGCTGAAGGAACTGGCTGCTGGCCTTGCAAAACCACTCTGCATTGCTGACAGTGTGGCAACTAGGGAGAGCTGTGCAAGGAACAGGGGAAAGCAAAAGTCACTCAATCTTCAAGAATGGCAGGAAAGAGGACCCGGGGAACTACAAGCCCACAGAAGGTGATGGAACAACTACTCCAAAAAAACAATTTCCAGACCAAGAAGGTAAGTGGCAGCAGTCAGCATGGATTTACAATGAGGTCATTTGCAAATTCTTAAGGATCCCAATTGGAGAGCCTCTCTGGTGAGGTGACCAGTTCAGTGGATATTGTCTGCCTTGGCTTAGGAAATCTTTTGACACTGCCATAGTATCTCCAAGTCATGATACTGACAGACTACTCAGTGGACCTTGAGGTGGACTAAAAACCAGCTGAAGACACGGGCTTAGAAGGTTGTCAGTGACATGAAGTCCTCTTGGACTTGAGTGAATAGCAGAGTACCCCTGTACTGAGGCCAGTCCTTTGTAGGATGTTAATTTCTACCCTGATTGATAGGACAGCATGTCCTCAGCAAGTCTCCAGGTGACACAAAGCTGAGAGGAGTGGCTGCTAAGGCCATAGTGTCATGCCACCATCCTGTGATCCCTCGACAGGCTGGAGAAATGGGCTTCCAGGATCTCATGAAATTCAACAGAAGGAAATGCCAAATCCTGCACCTGGGGAGAAATAATCCCAGACACCAGGACAGGCTGGAGGCCAGCTGGCTGGAGTGCCCCTTTGCAGGTAAGGACATGGTGGCCCTAGTGAACACCAAGTCCAAGAACCTGGAGCAAAGAGTGCAACCTGACCACAAAGGCATCCAAATGGCATCCTGGAAAGATGCCAACACATGGAGAGAGATGATCATCTGGTCTGAACCCCTGCTATAGACAGGGACACCTTTTACATGTGATTACAAAACAGATAAATTGTTCTGGTCCTTTATATTTCCAGTTCTCTTACTTTTAACACAACTACAGAGACAGCTCTGAGTCCTTTTGGTAAGCCAAACAAACGCAGAAGAATTAACACAAGTTTTTCTTGCTTTACCAGTAGAACTTGCACATCTTGGTCAAATCCACCAGTGTTTAAATTTACTTTTACTTTTTAAACATAACTGGTATTTTGGAACTACCAGAACTATCGAACTTCGCTGCATAGAACTCCCTTTAAAACCTTGTTATCTGTCAGCCCCATTGAGATGCTGTCCACAGTCAGGGCAGATGGCACTACACAGCTGTGTGGCCCAGGCTTCCCAGAGTGCATGGACATCTCCTTCCAGACCACAGCCCTCTGATTAATGCCAAAGACTGTTCAGAATCAGTAACTACTGTGTTGGTTGTACAAACAATCAGGAGTCTGAATGCAATGTATCAGTAACATCCAGCAGCTCAGACATGGCATCATATTAATGTGGCACTATGATGGCACTATGGATGGCTGACCAGAGCTTGAGCTGACTGCCAGAGGCTGCGTGCATATGCTTGAAGTCCTTTAAAAACATAACACATGGCAGGAATTATGCCAGGAATTACATTATCTGAAATCAAGTATTAGTTGAAGTGTAGAAGCACAACTACATCAAATCACAAATCTGAACAAAAAGTGGGGTACTGATTTCAGTAACTGCTGGATATAGCCATATACCTTAATACGTACCTTGTACTAAAACCTGGTTTAGGATTCCCTTTTGTCTGCATAAGATAGCAGAAGGATTCTGCACAAGCCAGTCTTCATCTGCATTTTTAAGATTTTAATAGTAACCTAAAAAAATAAAGAGACAGTAAATAACTGACATTTCAAGCAAAAGGGAAAACACAGTAGCTTCTCTTTTCAAAAACCCATTATATATGGAGTAATAAATCATAATAAAACTTCCGATTACCAGAAAAAAATTCATTTATTCTCCACCCATTCTTACCACTTAGTTGTTTCTCCACAGATTATATTTAAATTTTTACTACCTCAGCAGTTAAACAACAGCTGTTCCAAGAACATTAACAAGTTCCTAGATTTTCATATTTCTGCTTGGAGTAGATTAACTGCAGTTCTTCTCCAAAGAGCCCCAAGACATTTCCCTTTGGAGGTTTTCTAAAACATACGTATTTCACGTGACAGAAGACATTCTAGGCCTGCCAAGGCACATGGCGAAAGTGGCATTTCATCCTTCTAATATTAGTGCCACTAAAATGATCAGGATCCCTGCACACAACACTGAGTCATTAGTGACACTTGAGAACTAACAGCTCTCACTGCATTCTCCTCCTCTTTCTGCAGCGTGTAGTTGTACAGACATTATTAATTAGGGGCAAAGTTATCTATCAAAATAATATACCTGAACTGAGCTGGAGTAAAAAACCATCTCACAACAGAACTGCATAATGTATCATTAAAATACAGTGTAATACTGCAAGCATTAGAAATTGATGCAAAAGTTTAGGACTGTAATTTTACTTTACAACTTCTGCAATCGATTTGCTTGTATTTGCAGTAAGTGGTATCCACCTTGCACAGCGTCTTCTCATAGAGTACACATGCAGAACAACTATCCAAAGTGTTTAAAATTCAACAGCTCCATGCCCCAGCCATTCAGGCTTAAAAAGAGCTCTCACCTGTAGACACATTCCCTCCTCCCAGAATTAAAATCGCCTCTCCTCCGTAAATGCCTCAGACTTAAAGTAAGACCTGAGCACTGCAATGTTTGACAGGCTTAGCATAATCCCTTACTCAGGCACAGAAATGTGTTGCAGAACCTGACAGCTCTAATGAAATATCTAGGGAGAAGACTGCCTGGAAAGGTCTCATTACAACAGCACAAAGGGGTGCAGAACTCCCCATACTCTCACGTAAAGACTTGTTAAAATTATTTTCCAACATCTTGAGGTCCTGTTTTGATGACCATAAAACTTAGCACACCCTGCAAAGTATTTATCATGGAAAGAATTCCTTTGGAAAGCCACACACAGGTTACACCTTTCAGGCTAGCTTCACTTTAGGAGCAGTCCCAAAAAGCAACTCAAGAAGTGACATACGTGTAAATTACAACACACAACCACATATATTTACAATAAAGGTAACATTTACCTTATCAGACACAGGTGAAAACAGGCTGAGACTTGCAGCTCAGAATAAATACAATTTTAAAGTTGGCATGATTTAATGTCTGAGTCCTATTAAATCAATTCTCCCATTTGGTTCCTTTTTATGTCCCCTCCCATGCCATGGTGAAACTTGCTGTCTATCAGATTTCAGAAGTTCAGTTATCTATTCTGTACCAGACATTCAGCAAGATAGATACTTTCTTTCTAAAGAGCAAATGACAGAGCACAGCCCACTAACCCTTTCTGTGTTGATACTACAATCATTTAGCAAGTCAAATGCAGTAATAGCTGTAGTGATGAACAGTCAGTCATAGGGAGCTGGCTGGAACCATCTCTGGACAAGTGTTAGTGTCCTGAGACATTACCTCAACATGGTGCAATTAATGTAGCTATTGATAGGTATGTACCCATCTAACAGGAAGGCTAACATTACGGATTGCACAGTTTTCAGTCTGTATTTTATTATTAAAAACTCCAATAATTACTTTCTCCCTTTCCCCCCCATCAAGAAAGCTAAAGCATCAAGGCCTAACAGAGTCTCTCCAGTTTCTGTAACTGACATTGAATATTACTTTCTCTTCCTTGGCCACCCAGATTTACTTAAGAGAAAGCAGTGAGCCATATTCTTGGCAACCAGTAGTGATATTAGTGACAAAGCTGTAGCCAAATAAATATTGCCTGTTTTTGATTACAGGCTCTAAAACCACCTAGTAAGATTGCTGGGAGTGTTAAAATGTCTATAGTTTTTACTAGGAATGTGCCTCTGCACGATTTATTCACAATTCTCCCTCTTCTAAGATCATTCCAACCTCTCTACCCTATATAAACTCTACTGTTTATGATTAGCAGTAATTACTTTGTAATTAATAGGGCTGAATGCATCCAAGCAGCCAGTGATGAAAAAAGTGATTTCTAAGAGTGAGCTGGAACACAAGAGAAAGTTGTTTTCCAAGTAAGAGACTGAATTTTCATTCATATGATAAAGCTCTTCTTTAAATTAAAGCTCAAAGCAGTATGGTAAGGAAAATGAATCTGAACTAGTCTAAAAGGCTAAGAGCATGATAAACATGCCTGTTCTGGAGAGAAGAGAGGCATCACACAGAGTGATACTGCGCATAAATTGTGCCATTATGAAGGAAAACTGAAACCCAACTCCTAAGCGCACCTATCTCATAGTCAGCTCAGCAGGATACCTCCAGCAGAGGCCGGCTGTGCGGGAGGAGCTCCAGGCTGCCGACGCCAATTCAGAGCAGGAACAGCTGTGACACTACAACACCAAAGGACACTGCACATTTACCTTGCACACACACAGATGCGTGGCAGCTTTGCTGGCTTGACTGACAGAACAGGTTTTGTGGTTTGGTTCAGGGTTTTTTTTGGTTTTCAATTTTTTTTAATTAATAGGATTTTTGGTGGCTGCTGTAACAAAGAGTAACAAAACCCCCCTAAGTTTCCCCCTTTATTTTAGGTCTACTTGAAAAATTACCTAGCAACACACAACAGCAGCACAGGTAAATTTTGACTTCCACTGAAGTGACCATATGGTATTTTGCACCAGCAGGCACAGGTATCATTTTGAGAGTAGCAGAACCACTATCCAGCACACAGAAAGAAGAATTCCAATGCCGAGCTGTTCTCAGGAAAACACACAACCCCGTGTGGCCACTTATTTGGGGTTTCCAAAGGGAACCCGAGATGATCCGCAGAGCTGTGTTCATGTTTGCATTTGTTCACGCTTACCTATCAAAAGGTAACAGATAACAATGTTGGCTGCTGACATACTAACAGAAGATACAGTGCTAGACATTCTTAAATGGTCAGGCAATCTTATCCTCCCTATTCTCTTAATTCTAACTAGTCTGGCCAAACCTGCTCATCTTAATTATGAGTAGTCCCTGCTGAGGACAATAAAACCATTAGAGACTAAAGTAATTGTTACCTGGCATCACTGCATAGCTGCCAGGGATTATAGGAGACACACTGCAACACAATTTTTCCAAATCTTGTATTTGTCAAATTCTCTTAATAAGTGCATATACTGGCAGAGGAGTAGAAGCAAGCAAGCAAGCATTTAAGGGGAAAAATTTACCAAATTGGAGCTAAAAGGAAAAATTAAGTTCCTAGAAACAAAAAGGAAAATACTACTTGAGCTAAGCCAACAAGGCATTCAATTTCCTTTGCAAGTTCATGAAAAATATTTTACATCCATTTCACAACTTTCAAGTTACAAGGTGTAGGGTACCTGAAGTTAGCATCTTACACAGAATGAGGAATGTGAATGCAGTAATATTCCTCTTCTGGGATCAGATTTCAAAAAAGAACAAATGGTGGCAGTTACTAGTGGCCAGGCAATGAACACATGCCAGTGACAATCTGCGATCAAGGGACATTTGTTTCTGTTTTGCTTGGATTGCAGATCTTCACCATATAGAAATTAGATGATTTCTTCAATATTTAGGGAATGATGAGCATGTCTGAAAGCATTTAAACAGAAGACACAAAAGTTTTCATCTGTACAGCTTCAGCAAGGTCTGAATTCAAAGATACTAAAATTTGTAAACACTTTGTAAAACTAATAAAATTGTTCATTTGCAAGCTATTACATTCCTAGATACAAGACACAATAGCATCAAGTGGGGTTTATATATATATATATATATGTATGTATGTATATACACACACATTATATTTTTTCCAAAATTTCGTGCATTGTGAGACAGTAGTCCAAGTCATTACGATAATCCTGTATGAAATAGCAATTAAGTCCTGTATTTTTTAATACAGCCCCTTCCTCTCTATGACACTCCCATTTCAAGTTGAGAAACCTGCAGCACCAGAATAGCTGGCTCATCACTGATTTTCATAATTACCCATTTTACAAATGTTGTCATTGAAGCAACAGAAATATCTTTCAATGTTTAGATTTTTACTTTCAATGACTGTGTTCATGCTGAGCAACTTGAAAAAATGTCCAAGTAATGGTGTTGTTTTCTCCATTCAGAACTCACATGACAGGTTACACAGATGTGAAGTCCTGAGCATTTTGTCATGAACAGCTAAAAAGTACAAAATTGTTGAAGGAACAAGAGAATAACCTTTAACCCTCATTATCTCTTTCACCTAGAAATAATGATGTATAGTTGTGACTTCACAAAGAAAACTTAAGAAACCTGACAGATGAAAAGCATCTGAAAATGCTGCACTTGGCACTGGAAGCTAGAGTTAAAATTCCACTAGATAGTTCTGCCAGGTTCTGGAAACTCTGAGGTCACCTATCAGAGAAACAGATTTAGAAAAGTCTGCTGTAAACAAGATATCATTAAACCAGCACAGCTAGCACAGAGTTAAGTAGGATCAGTACAGCTCTACTACTTTAACATAAGTCAGGATACCATTGTGCTACATACAATGCAAATATAAACTTATGCAAGGAGTTAAGAGAACCACTAAGATTTTAGAGATGTTTAAATAGGCATACTTCTCTTAAGACTCATTTTTTATTTCAAAAATACTTAAAATTGTTTTAAAGTCGCAAAAATGTTCATATGCAAAGCCTAAGAGACTTTCTCATATCTACTCTTAAGTTCTCATATCTTAGTTTTAAGATTACAGAAAATCAGCATAAGCTTTGTATTACATAAAAATTCTTATATATAATAGTAATAACCTCACTAATTTGAGGATGTTTTCTATCTTGCAAAACCTAAGGGGGAATCTAGTTTCACACAAAACTTCCTATACTGTGCATAGTCCAATTTTCTTTAACTAAAAAATAAAAACCAAAAGTATTCCTAAGGAATTGTCAAACTCACTAATACACAGCTTCTGAAGTGTTTGCAATTCTGCTTTACAGAACTTCGCACAATGCTCCCCATTCCCTCCTGTAAGGTTCCTTACCTGTCATTTTTGCAGCAGGTGCCAAGTTAGGCCAGTCTCCTAACCTCCTCTTCCAAAATAATGACAGCAGAACTGATTATCTTTGTGGGGCTAAAATCTCTGAAGCCGTAAGACTGTGCTGGGGGAAGGGCAGGGCAAGACGTGGTCACACAGTCTTTATTAACAACAACTCATTCACTCCAACAGCTTTCATCTTTGACACGCTTCATTTGAAAACATAAAATTTAACAACACTACCCAGTACATACATCTAAACTGAAATGAATCCTAGTAAGGAAAGATTCAAATATCTAAGCATGTAGTAGGGTTTCACTGTTAATTTATTCATATAAAGTCTAATAATTTCAAGTTTTGCTGAGATGACAGAATCATGGACATGTTAATATCAGAAGGGATCTCTAGAGATCATCTGGTCCAACTCCTCAGCTTAGGCAGGGCCACCTAGAGCCAGTGCCTAGGACTACATCCAGATGACTTGTGGCATCTCCAAGATTGGAGACTCCACAACCTCTCTGGGCAGCTTGTGCCAGTGTTTGGTCACCCCTCACAGTAAAAATGTTTCCTGATGATCAGAAATAACCCCCTGTGTTTCTGTGTGTACCCATTACCTCTGGTCCTGTCACAAGATCTGTGATTCTTTGTGCAATTGAGTAATTTCCTTCCTGCACTAACTCTACTGGTGACAACTTCCGTCACAGATTACTCTATAACAAATGCAGAATATCAACTTCTGGTTCCCACCATAATAAAATCATATTTGGTAGGAAACAGAAAATCTTACATTAGATTTTAAATACACAGGAAATGGAATCTGTATTTCAAGACAAAGACAACAAACAGCATTAATAAACTGCAGGGTATCCTGCAAATGTTCCACCCCGTATTGGTTATACTGACATAGACTTACCTGTTTCTGATAACACCCACAAAGCAATGTTGAATAAAGGAACCATTTCTCTATTTGCTACTCTCTGCCTGGCAAGCTGGGACTCAAACTTGGCTCTTTGTCCTTTCCTTGCACAACTGGACATATTGCTGATGCTGCACTGTCAGGATTTATTTCAGCTTTATAGTACCATAGAATGCTGTAAATTCTATGTACAGCATTCCTTATTTTAGGAGAAGTCACTACTACTTGCAAGAAAAAAGCTATTCTTCCTACCCAAAATGAAATAGCTTTCTAAGTTAATATCAAACACTTTTAAAAAGCTTTAAGCTCAGCTGTCATATGTAGAGCAAAGTGAACACCTACTAACTTGTGACAAAGAGGACTGAAAAGCACTATATTAAAATAATTTCAAGTCTGAATAACAGATTAGGCATCTTCGTGAGTGTTAGGAATACTATTAACCATTCCACCATATATCCCCCATAAAGTCACTCCAGTTGGTTACCATTTCCTCCAACTGAGAGCAAAGTAAAGGCCTCAGTGATGACATTCCTTTGCACAGGACTAGGCCAAGACCACAGTGTGAGAAGTGAGGAACTCCCTTTTGATATCATCTTATATACAAAGGCAGTAAATTGGCATCATATTCAAAACTAAATATTTTTAATCAAAGAGACTGATTGCTGGTACTGTTTTTCATCATAACTCATTCAGACTTCAAGATGCAAGCTTGCACTATAATTCTCACATTAAAAATACTAATTTACAAACAAGCTATCAGAATTATCTTGGGTGCCAAGTTTGTAAATATCAACACATTAATGAGAAAATGGTTATACACAGAGACTAAAACGCAAAAGCTGTTACTTCAGTTACCTGTTTGTGACTTTTGATGTACTCAAGTAAAAAACATCCATTCTAATACACTACAAACATTACTTGCAATGTCTTGAAAAAGAAACTCCACTTAAGCAAGCAGCAGCTTCTCCAAAGAAGTCTGCATTTCAAACTGAAGTTCTGCATCCTGATGCATCCATTTCTTCGAAAGATTAACAGAACATGTACTTGTTATCAGATTCATTCACACTACTTTTTACAGACCACCTTCAAAGCAGTTTGCTTTCCTATTCTGCTCAATATTGTTCTGGTCTTCTCATAACTTTACTTCCATCTTATTTAAAAACTTTTACACTTTCTTTCATTCTGGACTCTGCAAAATCTTGTATCTGATCAGCACCTGACTGATGAGTATGCCCTGACAGCGTATATTTATGCCTAAAGTTTGAAGGACTCTAGTTTACATCAGCTGTGAAAGCTAAAATAAATGCATATGTCCAAACAGTTTAAAGATGAACCTCAGAAAATGGAGGTAGAACAAAATCCAAGTATCTTTATTACCAACTTAGGGAATTAGAACAAAATCCAAAAGATTAATTTTCTGAAACACACCTGCAATTACTAAAGGAATTTGTCTCATTGACAGTACAAATGTAACTAGTTTGTATTTTCTGTATTTTCTTAAGTGTCTACTCAAACTTGCTCAGATCAATACCTTATTGAGAACACAACTTTCATTAATGAAAAGTAATACGTGGAAGTGCACTGTAATGACTGAACAGGTATAAACTAAGCTGACTGCAGCTGACAGGAGCAAATGGTGATTTAAGCACCTCATGATGGCACCACTCTCAACACACAACTGCGATGGCTAAGCAGAATTTGCTAAGCAGAAAAGATGACTTTGAAAAGCATCTGGGCAGCCCCACAACTGCGATGGCTGTCACTACCTGAGAGAATTTGCTAAGCAGAAAAGATGACTTTGAAAAGCATCTGGGCAGCCATAAATGAACTTCATTAACTGAGGCACATGAAGCAACTGCTGAAACAACCAAAGGCACTACCATATTCCAAGTCCTGGGAAGGCTGTGACAATCATACAGATGTACATATACCAACTCAGAAGACAAACTTGCCTAAGATGCTGACTCTTCAGCCATTCAGATTTATCACTGTGGCAAGATAACTAGTTCTTCAAAAACTTAAATCCTGATAATCCTGTTCTTGGTTTGTCACAATTAAGGATGACATTTTCCTGCCATAAGAGCAGGACCAGATTTGGCAGTACCTGTTTCCAAGCAGGAGCTCTCTAAACTTGTGACAGAAGTCCTCTACTGGGAGCACTGGTACTTAAGTTATACATATTTGAACTTCAGTCCTTTCCCAGGAAATTTTGTCCTGTATATTTAGCATTTCCCTGCATGCCATTAATTTCACCTCTATTCCTTGAAGGTTATGTAGTCAAGAAGTAAAGATACAAGAAAATACACCTAACTCCCCAATAACCTTACTCTTCTCAACTTAATAAAACACAGGCTTACAGAATTACTTTTTTAAATTAAAGCATGTATTTTATTTGAATGTTTACACTGAATTAGTTTTCTTTATAGCAGAACTCTGAAACAACATTTAAGAATTTTAGATTAAGTTTATAAGAGTCGTATTTTGGGTTTTTAATTCTATGGTAGTTCCCAAATTATTAAAAGCTGCAAAGTGAAAGATGAGAAAAGCCACATTTTCCTGCTCTTCCACAATAGTATCTCCCCCATCTGTAAAACCATGAAGAGCAGAGCACTTATCTACTTTTAATTTTCTGTATTAGTATTTGCACACATCTGTGAGTTCAGAAAGAGTAACTATCTATTAAGTTCTCATGTACTCTCTGCCACTTCATTATTGTGTAATTACACAAAAGAGAAATTATGAAATGAAATTAATCCAGAACAAAAATTTTTGCCCCCGTTAGAAAGAGACATAAATCCTTTTTAAAAGCACAACAGTTTAAGAATACATACATGATATACACTTAGAAAACACATATGAAGAGGTATGTAACAACTTGTCAAATCACAGAAAGAACTGGTTTTTACTGTGCATCTGACATCTTTCCCTTGCTTTAAACCATTTCCATCAAGTTTAGTGTTAGAACCCCCAAATAAAGTTTCATACAGCTCATATCTTCCACATCATCAGGAAAACATAAAGCCTTTTACAACAAAAGAAAACCTAAAGTAAAGAAAAGGAAACAAAATTCTAAAAGGAATGTATTAGGATAATCAGAGCGGGCCGGTGACAAGTATCAAATATCAAAAATTTGGCCCGATCCTACAGTCAGTATGTCACCTTACATCCTCACATCACTTCTAAAGCTTGACAGAAGCTTGCACAATTTTCAATATATTGTAGTTTAAGGTTAGAGTTAAGACACCATGTCCTCAGTGTCTAACCAGTAAATGATTTAGAGCTCAAGTAAGACCTCTAGTGAAATCGTTTTCCCACATGCTTTAAAGGTACATCATTTGGCTTCCTTCACACTGGACAGTTTTAAATATACATGACAGTTTAAAAAAAACAGTAGATTTTTAAGCAATCATATAAAGTAGATTCTACAATACCAGTTTTCCCACACATGACCTCAAAACCAAGCAACATACAAATAATCAATCCTTTACCCTCCTCCATATATATCTAGATTAAAACTTTCAAACCAGTATTTCTGTGATTACCACAGCAATAAAGCAGAAATGCAAGTTCAGCATCAAGGTTCTTGGCACCGAGTTTTAAGACATTGTTATGCTCAATATGTATCAGCTTTTATCCAACCAGTCTTAAAGGCACAGCAACATATCACCAGTAAACACCAACACTTGAAGCACCCTATTTCTGCTATTTATACTACATGCCATGATCTTCAGCAAAGAAAATGTGCCGAAACAAACCAATTCTATTTTTACAATTTAGCATTGAACTTAAAACTGGATGAAATATGATAAATTATATTTCTTTTTAAATCTTTGTAACAAATGGGCCCAATGTAAAGAGTAAAAAATGCATGTCCAGGAACATAATGGAACTGAAAACAAGAGTATGATTGCTTCACAAATCTGTGTTTCCTCCATCCCCACCGCACCCCCAGGGGACTGGCTAACTCAGTACTTAAAAAGTAGGAAACTCAAACAAATTATTTTTCCTTATGTGTAATACAACTTGGGGAGTTAAGAGTACTGTTCAGAGCAAACATCGAGACATTTGTGTTTAACTTACTGTCTTGTAAACACACTTAGGATTAAAACCAGACAGAAATTAAACTAAATTAAACATTATTCAAGGTTTTGTTTTTAACCTTGAATAATGATCCTTAAGTGTGCTGTAAGCAGGGAAAAGTCTAGAAT